AACAGAGTCCAGATCTTGGATATAATTAAAAGAATCCAGATATGTACACATGTACACATATGTTTACGATTCTGTAATTATTTTACGTATAATTAATGACAAAGACAAAATGGCACAAAATATTACTGATAACGCGCCTCCCGAAAGTCTTAGAATTGTTAAAAATTGTCTTAAAATTGTTTAAAATTTTTATCTATTGTTTTTGACGGAAGATAATTTGCGTTATATTATCTGAAATATCAGGTTGAAAGTCACCGCAACCGGTGACAGCTAATAAAAAGAAGGACTTAGCTTGAAAGAATTATGATAAAGAATGGTATAAAATTACACGTGTATGAGCAGAGAATTTCTCCCCTCCTGGAATCAAACATAATTTCTTTATTTTTAATTAAATCTCGCTTTGCATGGGAAGTTAGAAACCTATGTGATGGGATCATGCTTTGTGTGTGCGCGCGCGCGCGCGCATAGTTACGTATGATTTAATATCATAAGTTTTGCAGAAAATATTTGGCACTAGATAATTACAATTAACATTTTACTGAAACATTTGATACATTTGTATATTACAATAAAAAGCAAGATACACTACACGAATCTGGATGCAATCGCTATTAGTTTCGTATAATCTGCTCCTTTGATGTGAGTCTTCTCCTTCATCTTCGTTCGGAGTATGTGTGGTATGGGCACCTGTATCCTTGTGCCCAGAGGTGTCCCATTGTCGTCAATGAGCACCAGATTGTTGCTGTCGAACCTGGGGATTTTAGGGGCCTGGTTGGCCTTCAGTCCGACCAGAATGCCCTTCTTCTTTTCGCCCCTTATCGCAACTAAAATTCTGTCTCCTAAATAATTCAGGACAGTTACGGCAGTGGTCAGATAAATATGGTTCTACAGAAGAGGTGAATATTTTTCATGCGATCTTCCATGCATTCTTGTCTCACCGATATGCCCCACGCCGCGTTTGTTGTACACGTGTATGCATCGCGGCGGTCTACCCTCCGTCATAGCCTGCCTCCCTATCTCGCTGTTGTCCACCACCCTCAATCGACTCAATTTAATTATCTGACACGCAGGGGCTGACGTAGAAATGTTCCTGCTTAAAACATTTAACAACGCAAAAGGCGATAACATTATCGTGACGTTTCACACACCCTCCTCTTTCAAGACAATCTGAAACATCCAAACAATACAAAACTGCATAAGCCATATATTTTAATACTGACATAACCTTCCATTTATCGAAAAGGAGATTGATGACGTTAAAAGTACCAAGTTGAATGAATTATTCCTCTCAGATATTAAAAAAAAAATGATGTTTACTGTAGAATAAAAATTCTCTCTTCGACACGATTCTAACCGCGAAATCATAACTTTCCATTTAGCAAAAAGGAGATTAATAACGTTAAAAGCAACAAGTTGAATAAATTCTTCTCAGATATTAAAAAAAAATGTTTACCATAGAATAAAAATTCTCCAACATTAATTCTGACTGTGAAATCAATTTGGAGGTCTTTAATCACGACAGCCCTTCGGAGTAGCTGTAAGCGCAGCAATCACAACAATCTCTTTACCTAACCTCAATCTCGCTAATAACTTAAAGGAGATTAATGACGTTAAAAGCAACAAGTTGAATGAATTCTTCTCAGATGTTAAAAAAAAGATGATTACCGTAGAATTAAAATTCTCCGACACTATTCTGACCGAAAATCAATTGAGAGGTCTTTAATCACGACTGCCCTTCGGAGCGACAGTAGGCGCAAAACTTCACAACAATC